AATTAATTTTCTTCTTATTTTTTTTTTTTCATTTCGCCATTTTGTTTTTTTTTAATGCGACTCGCGAATAATAATAATAATGATAATAATAATAAATTCGTACGTTTCCGTCAGGTAAAATTTTTTTTTTAACACGTCTCGTTCGTTTGACATACCTTCTCGTCGTGAATAAATTTTTTTTTTTTTAAATTCAAATGTTAAAATGTCTTCCTTTAAAGAGAGAGAGAAAGAGAGAGAGAGAGAGGTCTTACGGGAAGTGCCTTCGGCATAAAATTCTTTAAATAACTTCCACATTTAAAAAAATTTTTTTTTTAAAAAGAAAAGATTTTTATTTTTGCTCAATCTAAATATAAAAAAAATATAATTCCATTGTTTTCATTTGTGTCGCATTGTTACCAACCTTGTACTCGTTTATTATTATTATTATCAATTTTAAATAACCCTACGCGCGAAAATTATTATTATTTTTTTTTCAAGTTTATAATTATCATTTAAAAAAATGTTTCAAGATCTTAACCGAAAAAAGAAAAAAAAATTATTTAATAATTTAGCCTTGGCGCCGAAATGATTTTTTTTTTTTTTTTGGTTAACGCCCTTCGACAAAAACGTCGACATATATATAAAGATTTAAATTCGATTTTTTTCATTAAAAAAAAAAAAGAAAAAAATTCCCGGGAAATAAAATTTAATTTTCTTATCCCATTTAAAATGGCGTCCGCGGAAAATAACGTGGCACGAACGAAAAATAAAAATAATTAATAATTAACGGGTATTTTTCTTATACTTACTTACATATTTTGAATTGTTTTTTTTTTTTTTTTAGTTCCACGATTTTCCGATAGATGGAAAGTTTCTGCTATTTAAAATCGCCTAAGGATAATAATAAATGTTGAAATGTGTCATGGAATAATGAAAAATAAAAACGTTCCAGTAGGTGTATAGGTGAGTGTCGTTTAAAAAATTTTTTTAATGACGTCATCAGGAATGTAGTCGTCAGGTACGAACGAACGAATTTAAACGTTTTTTTTTTTTTTTACGTAATCGAAACATTGATCTTTGTTTTGTTTCTCCACATGGAAATAATGTTCGAAAATTCGTTTGTTCGCAAACAAACGAACAAACTTCATAAAAAAAAAAAAGAAAGTATCGTCACGAACCTATTAGTTATACCATGATTAAGAAACCTGCTCCGATCGGGTATAGCCTCGGTTGTTGTGTGTTAGAATTTAGAGGTCAGCCATAGTTTGTCTTGGTGAGCGGGTCGTTCAGGTTGCCATTTTTTTTTCTTTTCTCTCTCTTCTCTCAACATATTTTTTTTTTTTTTTTGTAACATAATTTTAAAGTTAATATTATTGTCGTTTGTTCGTGAAGTTTTGTACACGCACACACACACACACATACGTTCGTTATAATAATAATAATTAAAACAAACAAACAAACGCGTCTTTAATATTCCGTACATAAAAAAAAAAAAACGTTCGTTCGTTCGTTCGTACCTTCGTTTGTTCATTCGGGTTTAACAAACGCGAAATTATGTATTTGTTATTGTTATTGTTGTTGTGGTTGTTGTTCGCGTTTATGGTACAATCGAAAAATAAAAATGGAGTTTTGGTGTTATTATAACATTTACTAGAAAATATTTAAAAAAGGCGACGTCAAAAAAAAGAAATCAAAAAACATTATCATTATTATTATTATTATTTATTTTTAATTTATTACACTTATTTATTATCATTATCATTATTATTATTATTAGTATTCGTTTTTAAATTTTTATTCAAAAAAAAAAGAGAAAATACGTCGGACGTTTTTAAATAAATAAATTTTGGTGGATTCGACGATGGTAAGTTATCGTTTGTTGTTTGTTACATAAAATAATAAATACGAGGAAAAAAAATTTTAAAAATTCATTTTTTGTTTGTTTGTTTGTTTGTGGTTGTTGCCTACGAGTTTTCAGGTATTTAACAGGCATGAAAGCAGAAGGCAAAAAAAATTAAATAAATAAATTTTTGAGTAAAAAAAAAGAAAAAAAATTTGCGTGGGTCGTGTGTGGATTTTTTTTTTTTTTGTATGTTAAAAATTTCGTGGTATTATCATTATTATTATTATTATTATTTTGGTTGTTGTTGTTGCTAATTAATACGCCATTGTTTAAATTATTAATATTTTGACGTCATCGTTAAAAAAAAAAACAAACTAAAAAAAAATTTTTTTTTTGTTTTATTTGTCGACGTTTTTAAATTTTTTTTTTTTTAAATTATTATTATTATTATTATTATTATTATTATTAATATTTTTCGTTTCTGGTACGTTACGTTAGATTTTTTTTTTAAATTTATTATTTTTATTCGTTACGTAATATTTTTTTTTTGTAGAAATATTATTTAAAATTAAAAAAAAAGTAACGGTCGGATCGAGTTTTTAATGGCGAATAATTTTAAAAAAATCAAAACAGAACAAAAAAAAACAAAATGTTACGATGATGTATTATTATTATTATTCGATAAAAACAAACAGGCAAACGTACAAACAAACAAAAAACATGTAAATCGAATGTTTTTTTATCATTTAACATAATTTTTTCTTTTTTTTTTTTTTTTGTAAATTCTTCTGCCACGTTTAATAAATTCGTGTTCGTTCTCTCTCTCTCTCTCTCTCTCTCTCTCTCTCTCTCTGTCTGACTCGTGCTCTCATTTAAATATTTTTTTCTTTTTTAAAAAAAAAAACTTTTCGATTTTTTATTTTTCTACCTTTGATAATTTTCCGTTAAATATTACCAACCTTTGAAAATCAAAACAAACCAAAAAAATTTTCTTTAATTTTTTATTATTTTTTTTGGGGAGGGGGAAGGGGGGAGGGAGGATTCGTATTAAAATTATTTTTAACGAAACAAAAAAAAAGAAAAGAAAAAATTTTGCTCTTAACCATATAATAATAAACTCCTCCTCCCT